ATATTTGCATTTACGTACGTATAGATATTTATTTACATTCTACATCCTTTTTTACATCTTATTTCTAAACAAAATGCAATGATTGTCTGTGCCGTTTGATATTCGTAAATATACTTTTGCTTTAATTTTATCATCAATGTTTCGAAGGTTGCATATTATAATCATTTAGCATTTTAGTTATTTGTTCTGGAAGAAAAATGGTTTAAATTTTGATATAAAAAAATACTACATCGTTATTACTTGCCGATAAATCGATATAAAGGCATTTGCTCCTTTATTTTCTTTAGATGTACAATCCATTATGTACGTTGTTTCGTTCGAAAGGGATGTTCACGATGTACTAATTGTCAAGCTCGACATCACATGCCGCGTTATCTCGTATCTATATTTTAGTTGGAAAAATGGTACAACCTTCAATCTGAGTCCGCATAGCTCGTATGTGTCTTATATCCCGTTCTTGGTGTCACAATTTTGCATCCCCCCGTCGCGAGACATATTCCGTGTGAAACGAGCTTGCGGAGCTACGCATCGCGTCGAGAAGGGAATGGATGCATCCACTTCTACCCTCCTCCCGTTACGTCCCGTCCCGCGAGAAAGACCGTAAGGGACACACACCGAAGCACAGAGAGAGGGTGAATCACCCCCACGCGCGCCTGACGTACTCTGGCGTGCATAACACCCACGGTCGGTCGGTCCACGCGTGACTAGATACCGCTTTGCACGCATAGGGGACAAACGCCAATTATATTTTAATATCCCTCTGTACGAGACATGCCTTTCTCCGGCTTTTCGGAGTGCGCGAACGACGGGAAATTCTGACAACGTCCGCGTTACTCTCGTTTCTCTGGAATTCGCCTCCGTCTTTGTCTTGAAGTTCGACAAAAATTTAGAGAAGGTTATTTAGACAAGGTAATTGGTAAGTAAAGCAGGTAAAAGCAGGTAAAAGCAGGTAAAAGCAGGTAAATAGGATTAATGGATTAATAACTCTGAAGATTCCAAAAAAAAGAATACAATACAATTTGAAACTAATTTTTTTTTTTTGTGTTTGTTGAGATTATTTGTTTGAGACTATTTGTTGAGATTTATTTCGTCAAAATCAGTAAATCTAAGATTCAAAAAGAATTAAAATAACGATGCGAAAGAATGTATAATGTTCTTTTCTTTTTTCAGAGTTGATAAAAATTTCTATTTTCTCAAAATTAAGCTTAATAAAAAAATGTTCTTCAATTAGGGCAAATTAGAATATATATGTTGAGTAGCATTGAAAAATTTTATTTGTTTATGCTATTTTTTTTCTTATTTGTTGAAATTTCTGTTTTGTATAATTTAATAAATTAAAGACCAATTAAGTCAAATGGAATTAATATAAAATATATGTACCTGAATGACAAAGATAAAAATAGGAACATGTAAATCCATAATTTTTCAGAAATTTGTTATATTTAAAAAGTTCATTTTTAGGAATGATATTTAGAGAAATTTAGACATGTAATCAATATGAAATTAATGCGATTCATTATATTGAAGAAAATATCTTATGTAAAGAAATTTTAAAAAAAGATAAAAGAGAAATAAAAAAATTTTAATTATACTGCTATTTTTAACCAAACTGCCAAGGTTGATTCAAGTAGGCGTAAAGATAATATAATCTTATCTTTTTACTTGTTCTATTCATAATTAAGAAATATACATAAATAAAGTCATTCCATTCAAATTGAAACATTATAACTCGAAGCATTATAACTCAAACGCTGAACTATCTGTAGTACTGGTTCTTTTTCAATGAATTTTGTGTCATATTAATATATTATATATCTATTTCTCAATCATTACATTCTAAAAATATTTCATCTTAATTTACTATTATAACGCACAAGTAAAAATTTTTATTTAAAAGATTCGAAATCCTATGTCTTTTTGTATCTTTAACGTCTGATATTTTTATGTCTAAAAGATATATTATTTTTTCAATTCGGACGTCGGTTATGACAATAAATCGGTTTCCAAGTTTTGAAGTTATCGATCTCGATCGACCGAAAAATATCGGAGAAAGATGAAAAAAAAACAAAAAAGACAAAGAGAGTGACAATTAAGAAGTGGCAGGGGACAGGGGGGAGACCGAGAGGCATACCGTCCTCGCATTGCGGTTCGTCTCCGTCTGGCACCGATACCGCGTATCTCGGCCGTGTATGCGTCCTTTTTCTGATGCGGTGCAGTGCGCGCACGTTGCCGAGCGTGCGCACTGTGCGCGCAGCACGCGCCCTCCGATGTACCTTCCGCACGGTTGAGCATCTCCACCATTCAGAATCGATGATGTCACGAAGCGGAGCCGAGATCCCCACCGCGCTGCGCGCCACGAGCGCGGAGAGGGAGGCTGCGTCCATCGCCCATTGGTCCAAAACGCCAGTCGGACGTACCAACACGAGGCCGCGGCTACCACGGCGGCACGACCCAACGAGAGTCCGCGAGTCGGTGCGTGTCAGTCCGTGCGTGTGCTTTACCTAATAATATTTCCAGCGCGGCTAGTCCCGCGCTCTTCTTTCGCCCGATAGCCAACACGCATCTCGCACTCCATCCTCTCCTCTCTTTCTTTCTTTCTGTCTCGCTCGCTCTCTTTCTCTCTCTCTCTCTCCTCCGCTTCTCCTACGTTCTTCGTTCTACGTCGTTAACTCTCCTCTCTCTCTCTCTCTCTCTCTCTCTCTCTCTCTCTGTCGCTCTCCCTCGTTAGGGTTTAGGCGTTCTCGCGTACAAGCTCTTCGCGACGCGTCGCACCACCCTCCTCCAACCCGGTCTCCGACGGATCTCTCGCGAAAGCGAGAGAGGAGAAGAATCACGCGCTGCAGAGCAGCACGTGTGCTGCACTCGCGCGGATCGGCAAGCGCGGTGTGGTTATATAGTCATCGGCTCTCTTACCATCGTCGAGAGTCCGCCGCGCGGGATAGCCGACGCGAAAGTTGGTTTGCCCCTCGACCGGGATTGACCGGGGTGAACGATCGTCATTGACGCTTATTAGACTCCGCTTTTACAGCGCGCGATTAGCTGCGGGAGTGAGGGGGTGTCCTCGCGAGCGAGCGATCGCCGGCCGATTCCGACCACTCCGATCGGAACGATACGATCGACCCGCGCGAATCAAGTTGGAGTGTTGGATCCCGCGCGAGTGACGGAGTCACGACTCGCGACTCACCCCCCGGGGACTGTGATTTCGTATATGCGAGGTGCGACGTAAGCAGGAACCCGCTAAGGATTCGCAGTGGTGTCTTGGCCAAACGTGAGAACGTCGGAGGGAGGACGGGCACCGTCGGCCGTCGGCAGCTCTTGGTACGTGATCACGTGTTTGGAGGGTTTTGAGAAGTATTATTAAGTGACAGGAATGACAGATGCAAGGGATTCCAAGACAGACTCGAGCAGACTGTCCTCTTTTTCAAAGTACTTCTTAATCTTCCAAGTCAATTGTTCTTACAATCGTTTGTCTCTCATTTCTTTCTACTGTTTTTGACTTATTTTAATTTTAGAATGGTTGAAAGTAGAAAGAAAAAAGATACATCCGTTTCTAATATTGAATCTCTTTCTATTTTGCATGCACTTATATTGTCGTTGTTGTATGTTGCAATTAGGCAGAGACGAAGATGTAAATTGTCAGGTTTTTAGTCGAACGTAAAATTCGAAATTAAATTCTGTAAGCTCTTTCAGTAAGTAAACTTTGTTCTCTAATTCCATTACTCATCGATAAAGCGTATTTTAGTTGATTATCGACTTCAAAGAGTCGATTACTTAACACTTAATCTGTCAGTCACTTGCTCAGTTTTTATTTCTTGTGTCTGTTGAAATTTTTGTTCTATTTAATTTATTCGTTAACACAGGATTGCTTCAAATTCGGGTTAAATTTCTTAATTTTTATATTGTAACATTTTTGTGTGATGTACTAAAAACCTATAACTCCACTAATATTTAGTAATGAAATATATAAAAATGGATATTATAATTCTACAGTAATCTTTGATAATTTTTGTATTATTTTTACAATTGTCACATACAGAAAATAATGTCAGTGAAATACATAATTGCGTATATATTATATAAATAAATTATATTTTAAATCTAAATTAACTTTAATAGCAAGTATTATGAAAAAAAATTCATCTTGAAATATTAAGAGAAAGACATATTAATTATAAAACTTTTCTGTGTGTTTTTGCAAAAAATTAATATAATGTCAAAAATTAATATAATGTCAAACTTCTTAGATTTAATTCACTAAGCCTCGGCGCAGCAGTTTCATAATGTGTTTATAGAAAAAGGGACATGTCGAGAATATTTAAAAGCGTCTCACCTGCTATAGAAATCAGTATCTACCTCTAAATATCTCTAAATAAAAAATTAATATAAATATTAGTAATAGAAATTCAATCGTTTCGCGTGACTGCGTTAATCTTTCTCTAACGTATCGACGATTGAAGGTATCTGAATATGCTCAAAGCTATCTTACTTCGCCGGCAGCCATACCGGCGCGTCTTCAGGCACGAGTGCGCTCGGCTAATTGAACGCCGCGAACGCATTAATCGCTCGCGCTCTCTGCGAGGCAAACGCTCGCAAGTCCCGACGTTTCGGTTCATCCTGCTGATTAACACAGCTCGCGGTATCAGCGCGGCAGGCGAATGCGCGTCGCGCGCGGGAATGCAGATTGCACGCACGTAGCGTATAATACGGCTTAAAGCGTTAACACTCACCCTCCCCCGCGAACTCATCGCAATACCGGCGACGAATAGCGCGATTGAATAGCGCGTCGAATCTCCGACGTATATACATATGTG